CAGATATATAGAAAAACAGATGAACATCTGATATACATTTATAAATTCTAAAAAAAAATAGGAAGACAATAAATATGATAACAATTACAAGAATGGAACTGAATACTCATAATATATATTATATATACATAACATACCAACAAATCAACCTCAATTTCAATCCAATGAAAGTACGAAGAAGTAGCAAGCCGCGGGCGACGAGCTTGGCGGTGCCGCGGTGGGCCGGTGCGGCGGCAGCAGCAGCGGCGGTGGGCTGCAGAAGGCGACAGCTAACAAGACAAGCACGGGCAGCAGGTAGCAGTAAGAGAGAACAGAATGCTAATCGATTTTTACTCTTTTTTTTTCCTTTAGCCCTAAATTTATGTTTTATCACAATTTTTTTAATTAAATTATCAATATTGGTTGGGCCAAATTAAAATATAAATACAAGCCCAAAACCATAATTTAATTCAATTGGCCCAATTTCATCATCTTCTTCTTCAAATAGAATTACACGCAGACAGACGACACATGGGAAGTCGGGAAGTTGTGAGGCCGATTGCGATTACCATTGAACCGAGGGGTCTGCGGAGAAAGAATTGAGGGGGCTGAAAGCTAAAATTTAAGATATAATGCTTACTCGTAGCAATTTTCTCGTTGGCTGGAGGGGCTCTAGCCTCCCCGAGCCCTTTGTTAAATCCGCCCCTGCATCTGGTATTATTTTGGGGTCATGTGAAAAAAAAAAATAGATCTTTTAAAATTAAAATATATTTTTTAAATTTTTTAATTTTAAATCATAAATTTAATAATTTATTAGAAGTTATAACATATTTTACAAACAATAAATTTACAATATTAAGGAGTAAGTGTAAGAATAAAAAAATTGTTAATTTACTTATATTACTTGAAAAATCTTGTTTTTGGATATTTTTTGAAGCAAATTCATCAATTAAATTTTCGTAACCAATTAGTCATAGCCATTAATATCACATTTATCACAATTTCTAAGTTTATTTTCTAAATTCATAAAATAAGACTTTAAACTTGAATCATCTAATAAATGCAATTTTTCAAAAAAAAAATAAAAAAATAAATTATATTTGTGTATTTCTCATATTGTTCAAATTTTTTTTCAAGAGAGACAATTGTTGTTCAACAATACAATTTTTTTTTATAAATAATTTATTGTGTAATTTTAGCATATATATATATAAAGTTATTATTTATTTACATATATATTAATGGCCCCAAAATTAGGAATTATATTTTGTTATTTTTCGATAAACAATATTTTTGTAAATTTAATATATATTATTTAATTCACTATAATATTATATATATATACATATATATTTATTGGGCCCTACAAAATTAGGGTCTGTGCGATCGGCAATGAAGCACGTGCTAATAAACGATTATGATAATACAAATAGAGTGTGTTCTTTTGAGAGATTAGGTTGGATAATGTTGTGATTTTGAGTTATTACAAACATGATTATTTAACCTAATTAGTATCTGTTTAATTTGAGTGATTAAAATTTGTAATTATATACTCTAAGAGTAAAATTATAATAGTTAAAACAGATTGATTGCAATATTGAATAAGATAATTTAATATGATACTTCCTCCGTCCCAAAAGATTTGTCTTGATTTTTCATTTTCGTCCGTCCTAAAACAATTATCTTGTTTCCTTATTTAGTAGCTGTGGTCCCCACTTTATAACAAAATTATTCATACTTTTTCATACTACCCATAATTATTACTCTAACATACTCTTTAAAATCCTTCAAAAAGCAATGGCATTTTAGTCATTTACATTCTACTTTATATCCACTTTCAATTAAATACTATTATTCCTTAATTCCCGTGCCAACTCTCAATAAGACACTTCTTTTGGGACGAAAGGAGTATTAATTATTTTTTCATTCAGTATATATAAAACATATAAATTATATAAATTTTTATTCAGTTGTGTTAAATATATAATAATGTATTCGTTCGTCTCTAAGGATCACATTTACTTTTTGCGTTATTGTACTTAACATTAAAAATATCCTTATATTTGTATAATTTTGTGTACAAATGTCATTTTATTAATATTATAAGACACTAATAAAAGTATTTCTGCAATTTTTTTCTTAATTTGTACTATGTTTTGATATAATAATTAATATGAAAAAATCAAACGCAAAAAGTAAATAAGATCCTTATAACCGAACAAAAAGTAGTACTACATAATTGTCTAGTATGAATGCACTTTGTTAGAAATTTTGGAGGAAAATAATGAGATGGTCTTATTAATCATCAGAATAAGGAGTCTATATATAGGCAATACAAAACAGAATCGATAGACTCAAATGTAAGTAATCTAATCTATGAATAAGATCAAATCTAGATATAAATCTATTAAATCTAAAACTAAATATCTAAAATATCTCAACATCCCCCCTCAAATTCAAGTGGTATAACAGAAACCAACTTGAGTTTGATGAGAAATTTGAATATAAACGCAAAAAGAAAACATAAATAAAAATAACAGTTGACTCTCCACCCACCGGAGCAAAAAACAAGATGATTCTCCACCGGAGCCGAAAACGATAGGACTCCACCGGAGCCGAAAACGAGATGACTCTCCACCAGAGCCGAAAACGACAGGACTCCACCGGAGCCGAAAACGACAGGACTCCACCGGAGCCGAAAACGACATGACTCCACCGAAGCTGAATACGAGATGACTCTCCATCGGAGCTGAAAACGAGATGACTCCACCGGAGTCGAAAACGACATGACTCCACCGGAGCCGTTGAAAATGAGATGACTCCACCGAAGCCGAAAATGAGATGACTCCACTTGAGCCGAAAACCACATGACTCCACCGGAGCAAAAAACCACATAACTCCACCGGAGGCGAAAACGAAATGACTCTACCGGAACAAAAAACGAGATGACTCCACCGGAGCAAAAAATGACATGACTCCACTGGAGCCGAAAACGAGATGACTCCACCGGAGCAAAAAACGACATGATTCAACTGGAGCCGAAAACGAGATGATTCCACTGGAGCCGAAAACGACATAACTCCACCGGAGCCGTCGAAAACGAGATGACTCCACCGAAGCAGAAAACGAGATGACTCCATTTGAGCCGAAAACGACATGACTCCACTGGAGCCGACAACGAGATAACTCTCCACCGGAGCCGAAAACAGATAGATCGCAGACAATAGACAAGCAGAGGACATATGGTAGATCGTAGGTAGAATCAGGACTCAAGATAAAATCAAAATCAGAAAAAGAAAGGGCTGGAAACTATAGAAAAAATTTCAAAATTGGAAGACCTTCGGGTACATCCCAGGTTGAATGTACCCGGAGAAATGCGGGTTGGTAGGCTATATCTACGGTATGAGAAAAGTAAGCTCTGATACCATGTTAGAAATTTTAGGGGAAAATAATGAGATGGTCTTATTAATCATCAGAATAAGGAGTCTATACATAGGCAATACAAAACAGAATCGATAGACTCAAATGTAAATAATCTAATCTATGAATAAGATCAAATCTAATTATAAATCTATTAAATCTAAAAACTAAATATCTAAAATATTTCAAGACTTGTGTGTTAAAATCAAATGTAAATTGTACTAACTTTAGTGTCGTGTAGAATCATGTTGGATTGAATCCATGACTAAGCAGTGGGTGAGGTACGTGAATTAGTTATAATTCGTGTCAATCATATTTGTTCCTTCCTCCAGCCCAGGAATGTCTACACTATATGTTCATGTAAGATTCTACCGTTGATTTTACTGTTCTAATTTTATTTTATTTTTTTTAAAATATTAAATTAAATATTTAATTTTTATTTATTTTATTACACTAGAATTTAATTTTACATCCAAAACATCAAATCAATATATATTTATATCATATCAAACAACTATTTTAATTTAAAAATTTACGATTTAAAATCAAAATTCAAAACCAAAACCGTAATCGCATCCTCTATGATCCTAGCAAATTTTAGATATTTTATATATTTATTTTAATAATTTCTTAATTTATTGATCTGATCCTAATTAAATTTATAATGTACCTGCTAAGATTTTCGGTAAAAATTATTTATTGCAGTAACAATTGTCGATTCTGTAGAAATTAAAATTCCAACAAAAACCAATATTAAATTTATAGCATTTACATATAAATATTAAATTATGATAAATATTTTAATATAATGTTACGTAAATTTGCATGCAATATTTGGCTAATATTATTTATTATTATTATTATTATTATTATTATTATTTTTTCTGGAAGGTTGTGTCGTGTTTGGATAATATAGTCAAAGAAAGTTGATTCTATACGTGTCCGTCGCGTCTGAAATGCTGATAAGATGAATATCTTTAGGTGGGTAGGTGGGCCATGTTGGTTAAGTTAGTTAATCAATCGTCAACGACATCCAGAAGGTCGGCGGTTGTGTTGGGACACACAGGAGACAGCTGCCATAGTTTTAAAATTTTGTAAATAATAAAAAATTAAATATTTAATAAGATATTTTATTAAATAGATATTTATTATATTCCCTAATTTTATTTCAAAAGATCATTTACTTTTTCGTAATGAACTAAAAAATAATAAATTCATTAATTGTGAAAGTGTATAAAAATATTTTATATTTTTGTTTTGAAAAAATACAAATAAAATAATAATATTTCATATTTTTTATAAAAATAGAGATATTTTAATATTAAGTATATAAAGTACTTGAAATAAGACGTATAGAATATATATTTTTTTTATATATAAAAAATTATCCTTAATTATTGGAGCCTTAATTTATTAACATAACATGCATGTTGACTTGACTTGGCAGTTGGCACTAGCGCCCTGCCTTGCCCTGGTGTGTAAAGTTAAGTAGTAAGAAATGAAGCAAAATTGAATTGAATGTGGTCGGCGTGGAGTAGGTTGATCCATAATAACTACCAACGGACTAACTAACTTAAGACCATGGCAGTTGGTATTTCCATTATATATATATATATATATATATATTTTTAATTGTACAATATTTCAAAGCAAACTCAAAAGAAGAAACTTGCACACGTCACGGAACCCATCAACCCAAAGGGCAAGTAATACATAGTTTGATGGATTCAAAACACAAAAGTGACATTGGATATTATATTTATATCTTTATTTATATTTATATTAATATTTATGTCCATGGCAAGCTTGCCATCCGTGTGGGACCACTCAAATCGCGCCTCCTCCCCATTCAAGTACCCTTTCTTGGGGGACCCACTCGAATAAGCCACGAACCTCCCTACGCCCTTCACCACCACCTTCACCTCCGACTCCGTCCACGTCACCTCCTGTATCGTCCCTCCACAGTTAAACATATTGCTCAGTCCAACCGCCGCGAATTTCACTCCGCCGCCGCCGCCGGCGAGCTTCCTCACCGGAACGAAGCTGAAGATCTCAAATGTCGACGGCTTTAGGGTGAACGGAATGCTCTCCCCCGCCATCACCACCGCCATCTTCTCCGACTCGCTCATGTACACTGCGTATTCATCCATTTCCATTTCCATTTCCATGGCCGTTTCCCCCTGATCCCACTCCACGTCCTCCGCCCCCACCCGCCCGCTCAGCGCCTTGTAGCACTGCGAGTACCCCCTGATCCTCTGCTCCTTGGGGTCCCACCCAGCGCCTTGGCAGTTGAAAGCCCCGACCACACCGCCGTACTTGTTCAAGTTCCAGATCTTGAGGACGGTGGTGCCGTCGAAGAGGGGGTTCTTGAAGATGCAGTCTCTTGTGGGGAGTGCGAAGTGGAGGCAGTTAGGGATTGTGCCGTCGGGAAAGACCAGTTTTTTGAGGAGATCGAAATCATGGCCTTCCAGAGAGTCGCTTACGTAAACAGGGCCGCCGCAGATAGCCCTGGATCCGGCATGGAATTTGGCGCACTGGTGGTCCGACTGGAACATGTCCCAGTCGGGTCGGATCATCTGACCCATCCACAGGCTGTTGTATGCGCAGTGGATCATGTGCACCCCTTGCAGCCAGTACACACCCATCGGGTCGCCGTTCGGGTCCTGAAACCAGAAGTCATCCCCTGCAATCAAATCAAATAAATAAATAAATTACATAATCATGAGTTCATATATATGCATATATATATACTTTCAAGCTAAGAGAGAGAAAGAGAGTTGAATTTGTTGCTAACCAACTCTTCCCATAGATATCTGCTCTGTTCCGAGGAAGAAGAAGTCGTTGCATTGCTGCATGCTGGAGATGAGCCCTGTCCCTTTGAAGTTCTTCGCGAGAGATTTCGACAGCCCCTTGTAATAAGCCTTGGCAAGCTCCACTCTGCCTCCATACTCCTCGCACACATACTCCAGCATCTGTTTATATTAATTAATTAATTAATTAATTAAGTTGAATTGAGATATGACATGATACATACAAAGAGTAATAAATAAGTTAATTATTACATGAATGACGTCGACTTTGACCCCTGTAATACCAGCTCGAGAAAGGTAGGCATGCATGGAATCATAGAGCTCCTCAGCCTGGTCCGGGTGCACCAGTCCCACAGACCCCTCAACTATCTTCACCACCGCCAGATCCTCCATGGTCCCGTCCAGTCCCGGGGACAGCTTGCAGGGGACAATCTTCGACTTCAGATGGGTCGCCCCGGGGCGTACACCCCCCCACGCCCCCGCCAGTGCGTGCCACACGTATATATCATCTAACCCTTTAAAATTCTTCCTCAAATCCTCAGTAAACGCTTTCAATCCGCCATTTTCGTCGAAAACGCAACCATTTTCATCTTCATCTCCACCGAACATCTCATCCAGTTCCTTCTTAAGCTTCTCAATCTTCACCTCGTATAATTCCGACAAGTCGGATTGACCGGCCGCCTTGTGCTTGTCACGTGCCTTCTCAGCGAATTCGATCTCAATAGCTTTAGATATCAACATCTTCGGCTTCTTCGGGTCGAATTTCGGACAATTCGGGCTGAGCATTAGACCGGGTTTATATTTCCTGAATTTTTCACACTCGTCCAGCCTGTGCAGGCGTGATGTCATCTGAGTGCCTCCGAGCACGAGATTCTTGGCGTCTTTGTGGGGATCATCCTGACCGTCCGTATTGATGCTCTGCCAGCCATCGTCGATGATCAGAAACCGCGGCGACACTCCGCCGTCGGCGAATTCTCTCACGCCGTGCCAAACTCCGGCGGGCTCCACCGTGAGGTAAAAGGCGTCCCAGGTGCACCAGCCGAATTTATCCACCAGCGGCGGCGCCGCCTTCTCTTCAATGAGCTTGAAGGTGTTGAGGTGGACTCTGATGGCGGTGTACGCCTCTTTCATCAGCGTGTAAGGGTTGTCGGACACGTGGAGGTAGGCGATTGCGTGGAAGGAGGATGTTTGGACACGTGTCGAGCCGCTCTCCGCGCAGATCAACACGTGGCCGTTCGGTCCTGGCTGGAGGGCCGCCCTGAACTTGCCTTCGATTACAGGGATTACGACAGCGTAGGATTTGATCTCCGGCACATCCAGCATTATCCATTGGGTCTCCATCTGGAGGTCCGACCCGGACCGCCCGACCCACTGGGTGGACCACCACGTTTTGAACCGGAATATGCTCAGGAAGTCCCTTCCGGTGAACTTTCCGATGGAGTTGGTGAGGCGGTCGGCGGGAGCGTCGTGTCGGAATCCGAGGAAGCCGCCCTTGAAGGACTGGGAATTGGCGCGCTGGAGCAGAGACAGAGGGACCTCATCGTTTTGGATTTGGGAGACGGAAGTGAAATTGTTGAATTTGACGTTGTCGGGAACTTGGGAGAGCAGGGGAATATTCCGGACATAGAGTACTCCGCCGTGGAGGCGGAAGAAGTTGTCTTTGCTGTGGCGGGATTCTAACACGGATTCAATATTGGTGTCATTAGGCGGCGCCATGGATATGTTGTGAAGGTAGAAAGAAGGCTATGGGATTGAGAAGACAATGTATGAAATTGAGGAATTGGCTATGTCAAATTCTCAGATTGTCTGAGTATTTATAGAAGCAGAGGAAGTAACAGGAACAGAGACACTCACTAAAGAACAAACAGTTTACAGAGGTGGGTGAGTATAGGCTAGAATTAGACGTAAAAAAAATAAAAAATAAAAAATAAAAGAAAAATAAAATAAAGAGTCAATTATGTAACTGCATCTATCTATGTATCTCTATCCAACTATTTATTACATATAATATCCTTCCACAACGTTCAAATAATAAATAAAATAAAAAATAGTTTTTTAAATTAAATTAATTAATAAATAAAAGGAAAAGTGCGGTGGACGGTGGAGAAAGGGAGGAAGGCTTTGATTTGATTGTCATGTATATCAAACTTATTTATTTATTTATAAGTTTGTGCAAGAAAGCAAGTTTATGCAAAACCTGATCTTGTCACCCAATCCCAATCCTCTTGACATTGATTTAATTTCGTAATCGTCGACAATATTTTAAGCAGGTGTATTTCATCCGTCAGTTTTATTAGTGCCTCTTATATTTTGTTTGAATTAAAAAAAATGTTTAACCCTAAAGTCATTTCTAATATAATTATCTTATTTGGTTTTGCAACACTTTATTTGTTTATATTATCTATTTTGTAGAAATAAAAATCAGTGGTGTGTGTCGTCATCTCATGTACTAAGGTAAGGAAGAAATTCTCTAGAGTAGGTTTGTTATAGATTGCTTCTGAAAGGTTCTACCACTGCACTTTTTCATTTATTTATTATTATTATTATTATCTTAGGTGATAAGATTTTGAGGAGGGAATTGTGGAGTGTCAATCGCCTGATTTTGAGGACACTCGAATTCTTCACCCTTTTCCTCTATGTGACGGTGACTGTCCTCAACATTTATTTCATTGGAACCCAACTAAAAATTTAAATTTGTTTTATAATTAGCATATCAGGGGTTAGTTATATATATAATTTAAAAGATATTTTTGTCAAAATTATTTCATATAAAATATTGCATTTTTTAAAAATATCAAAGTCTAAAACAAAAGCATACAAATGATAAAAATAATAGTAATAAAAGGCATCCCCAGATATTTAAAACATGTATCATTATTATTGCTCAAATGTAAATAAAACTCATATACCAGATATTGAACATAAAAAAAAAAAATAAAAAAAAATCCACAAAAATAAAATAAAATGCATTTTAATCGCTACAATGGCATAAAATTGATATCCAATTGCAGCCGTATATCTTACAGAGAAGACGAAGACGTAGTCCCATAAAGGATGACTTGGTGGGACAGGGCTTAGATTTGTAATCGTGAGGTCATGGGTTCAAACTCCCGACGCATCAAGTCACCTGATTTGCAGGGTATTAGGTTCGGTCAACAAAAAATTGACACAATATACACACAAAATCGACCCTAAGAACCCACAACTCGACGAAAAAGAACTCTACAACACAAAGACAAGGCACCACATGACAAAACAGACGTCTACCGGTTTGAGAGAGCCCCTTGTGGCTCTAATCAACAAACAAGAGAAGCAAAACAAGCCAAGGAATTCCACGGACATGAGGAAGGTAACGCTGCCGAGGAATCGCCGGAAAAAGTTGCCGGAAAAGGTTGCACGAGAGATGGCAGGAGAGGCACGATTGAATTAATTGAGACAACTGCTCCTCTTGCTTTATATATCTAGGGCAAAAAGAATAGGCGGATTAGGCGAAGCATGTCAAGGCACGGGTTGTGGGTCAGAGGCGCAGGTCGTGGGCCATAGGTTGGGTAGGTGTTTATGGGCTGCTTAATGGGTGTAGTATTATATTGTATGGGGTGGATCTATTTGGACTAAAATTTAACAAATTCTTCACCTAATTTTGGTCCGAGTAGTAGGGGTTATCACTGCCCATAGATTTGGATTACTTACCTACACAAAGAAAAACATACAAAACAAGTTAATAAAAAATATATTAGTTTAGCCTACCATTTACACACATGTAGAATACAACTAATCAAATGTATCAACTTTCAAACAAGATACAAAATTATTAATTTTCCCCAATATTGTATCTAAAATACATTCAAATCCAATTATTGATAGAACTACTCCACATTATAAATGTGTCATATAACCAAAACATGTTGCACACAATATACAAACAGAAACAATAGCAAGCTTCATAAGTTTTATATCATTCACAACCAATTATAACATACTACAAATAAGCCAATAGCAAAGCCAAGGAACTGTTTTCAAACAATTATTAATGACTAATGAATTATTATCTTTCCTTATTACAAAACTTTGAAACTTATTTTCAGAATTAATTATTTTCCTATCAATCATAAGGTCATCCACGTGTTTAAGTTCTCAAACATATCACATGGCAAAGAAGATGAATAAAAAATACTCTCTCCGTCCCATAAAGAAATATTCATTTGCTCTTTGCACATAGTTTTAGAAATATTAATATCATATTGGGATATAGTAGGAATAAAATAGAAATGACTAAAATAACCTTATTAGTATGTGTGATATAAAGGTAATGACATTTGTGTAATATATCGTAAGTTGTAAGAGTATTTGTAATGTTAGGTAGATAGTACAGTTACTAAAAAAGGAAATTGATACTTTGTTATGGGACAGACTAAAATGGAAAAATAGATACTTTGTTATGGGACGGAGGAGTATCAAATATAGAGAACACTTTAGGATTATTTCTATCCGCATCTCTAACAAATATGTAATTTTCTATCTCATTATTATTTTTACAATAAGTTTCAACATTGTTTTTAATTTCAAAAATTGTATTTTCATTTTTACTCACAATAGTCTGCGCAATAGATAAAATTTGAAAGTCATCAACAAAAGTATCAGTTTCACTATTCAACTCAAAATTCCACCTCATTTTGAACACTATAAAAAACAATATTATTCTCTCTCTCTCTCAAATTTGACATTATTAATTTTAACATCAATTTGCACAATTTCAGCAAATTTAACAGAGACTTCATTAGAAACAAAATTAATATAACGTTGCAATTAAACCAGAATCTCTCTCTCACACACTCTGAATTTTCATTTTTGAAAACAAACATATTTTCAGCAGCACTGAAAATTGCACATTATTAGATTCACAAACATGCTGATTATCAATAAATTCAAAACGAAAATCAGATTTTACAGGTTTATTTTCTCAATTTTTTATATCAATTAAATTATGCTCCACCTTATTTATAATATTACAATAAACAACCAATTCATATTCTCCAATATTCAAACATGGTATATATCATTGATTAAATGTCATATTATTACTAATAATAGTTTTAAAGCCGAGTTTAGAACTTAAACATAATCGATACCCCGTAACACCATAACCCAAGAAAACACAATTTTTTTATTTTTATTTCAAAATCATCAGTGCAAATGTGTATCACAACCAGACATCTAAACACACGAACATTAGATTTGTCGACTAATCTACCCAACCACTTATTTTCAGGAATTTTATCATTAAGTGGAATAGAGGGTGTTCGATTTAAAAGATAAGTTGTCGTTACAGCGGCTTCACCCCAAAATTTTTTGGATAAACCGAATGAAGTCAAAAGATCTCTAATTCTCTCCAAAAGAGTCTGGTTTAGCTTCTCAACCATCTCACTAGATTGGAGTGATATGGAGACAGATTCAAGTTTAATACAATTTTGCATAAAAATTTTATTGAACTAGGTGTTACAAAAATTTAAACTATTATCAGTTTTAATACATTTTATTTTTCTGTCAGTTTCAACTTTAATTTAAATATTCCAATTCTTGAAAATTTTGAATAAATCAGATTTATTTTTCAATAAGAAAATTCAAATTTTTCTTGAAATATCATAACTAATGTAAAAAAATATCCACTCATACCATGAGTGTATTCATTAGAAGGATCACATGTATCTATATGTATACATTCCAAGATTTGTTTTGAATAAAAAAATGTAATTTTCTGGGGTTTTAAACGAAAATTGTACACTACTTAATTTTCCCGGAGTACATGTATTACAAAAGGGAACAACGAAAAATTTATTATTTTCAAAATAACCAAATTCATGTAGAATTTTGAAACCATTATTGTTAAGATGACATAATCTTTTATGCCATAATTTAGAATTTTTAATTTCAAAATTATCAGTATTCAAATATACATTCACAGGTATAACAGGGTTATATACAAATTATTTTTCAATTCTACCCTAGAAATTATTAAAAACCCTTTTGTTATTTTTCATGAAATTTAAACCTCATTTTCCTTCTAAACCTAAAGTAGATAACCTAACACATGACAGCAGGTTACGTGACAATTCAGACACATATCTCACATCATGCAATTTTAGCACATTTTCAGATTTAAATTTTAGATTAATCACCAATTTTCTTAACTTTACACACATGTTTATCAGTCATATTAATATAACAGCGTGTTAAAATTTTAAATTTAGAAAAAATATGTTTCAAATGTGTCATATGGTATGTCCAAGCAAAATCAACAATCAATTCATTAGCACTAAAAAAATTCGAATTTAAATATGGACAAACATCAAACACATCCCTTAAATTATTTTCACTAGCAATCACATGGGCTAACTCACTTACTTGTGCATTATTATTTTAGTATTGTTATTATTATCGTTATGTTTCTTAGAGCAATATCTAACAAAGTGTGAAGGATCACCACAATTAGAGCATCTATTTCCTCATTTATTAGGAGTTTTAGATCTATTTCGATGACGATTATTATTATTATTATTATTATTATTATTATTATTATTATTATTATTATTATTATTATTATTATGATTTGTTTTGTTATTATCAGAATTTTCAGAATTATTATTTCTATTAGATATAAAAAGAGATCTACCCCTAATAAACATAACATCACAAGATTTATTAGATTTATTTACATTCAAATCTAATTCTTTACTTTTCAAATCATTAATAACCACATATAAAGTTACAAAATTACACTCATATTTAATTGCATATTTTACATCAGAATATACACTTGGAATAACATTCAAAAGAACTATGGCACTGTAATCATCTATATATATATTTTTTTATCACCGGTAAACTTAATATCTTGAATTAATTTTTGAGAAATATCAAGATTTTCATTAATAGTTTTAGGTTGATCAAGTTTAAAACTAAAGAAATTTTCTAACAAATAAAGCCTAGTTGGTAAAGAAGTTTGAG